GAGCAGCTGGGAGCACTCTTTCTAATGAAAGCTGTGGTTCTGGCCATATAGCGCCTCTTCTAGTTCACGAGGTTAAAAATAATATTCAGATTTTTTTTTTTAGTGGTAATAATAGTACTAGTCCAAGTATATTGTAATAACTACTACCATTAGTGCTATTAGCGCTGACCTAAAACAAGTTGATTCTTCTTATGATTAAAGTACTACTTGTAGTACCTACTAGTGGAGAGCAACCCCAACCCCAGGCAAGTCAATCATGTGGATCCATAGGATCGGATGAGTCATGAATGAAGAGTGTGTATGAATCATAGATATCTTTCATATGTATGTATCATAGATATGAATCATACTCACAATCTGATATCCTACAGAGGGATCTGTGATGTGTGAAGCAATCAGATCATAGTAGAAAAGACGAGGAAGGAGGATATCAGGTTCTTGGTGGAGCAGGAGTAAAGTGCCCAACGAAGAGTTGGCATACATGGCGATTGTGAAGGACCCAACCAAGAGCTTTTGTCAGTGCATCTGCAGGATTTATTGCTTGTGCTGGTGTTGATGAACTGCATCTTGATATATAGGAGGTCTTGTTTCCAATCTTGTATTCTTGTGAAGCATGGTATGCCAATGTGTTGTGATGGTTCTGCAGGAACTCCTGAGTTTACAATTTTTAAGGTGGAATCGTTGCGGTTAATTTTACAAACAATCAACTTTCATTTTGGAAAGTAATAGTAGTGGGGTTTGGAATTTTTTTCCAGCTGGGCTGTGCTACTACTAGTACTAGTAGTGGCAACAAGAACCAAGCAGTAGTCAATACAGTATAATATAAAATGGGAGAGATTGATACTACTAGGACTGTTACAGTAATATTTTAGTAGTTTTCTGCTACATTTGTTATTCAACCCGCTGTTCACAGGTATTAGCATGGCAATTATGAGGAAGAAAATGAGCTATTGAGATCAAAAGGCAACAAAAAATATCGGTTCCTCTGATTCCATTGTAATTGCTGATAAAGTGTAAGATGGAACTAGCTAGCTTCAGATAATTCTTTTCTTTTTAACACTAGCTTATTGTTTTCTTTTGCCCAGGGGATTCTAGATCTATCAAGCAAAGACTCTCGTGCAAGAGTTGCAATTAATTGAATGGTGGCGTCTCCGAAAAGTCCTCTTGGTACCCCGCATATCCCGCTGGGTTGCCATAATCGTCAGCTTCGTATCCACCACCAGTGTTATTGCTGTTGTATCCGCCGTCGTAAGTTTTGTAGACTTCGAGTCTATCACCTACTGCATCAACCGCAATACCGTCGCCATCTCCATATTCTCCCGCCAACACTCCTCGAGCAACAACCGTTTCCAGTTCCTTTTGAATAGTGCGCTTCAACGGCCGAGCACCATAAACAGGGTCAAATCCTATATCCGTCAAGAAGTCCAACGCAGCGTCAGAAACACTGATAGTAATCTCCTTCTCCGCAAGGCGTTTCTCGAGTCTTCTAATCTCCAACTTGACAATCTCGCGGAGGGCCGGTTTGTCGAGCCTGTTGAAAATGACGTGCTCGTCAATACGATTCAAAAATTCAGGTTTGAACTTATCCCTCATGGCGTCCATGACACGCTCTTTCATCATTTCCTTCTGCATTGAATCGTCTCCATGAAGATCCAAGATATCTTGACTCCCAACATTACTCGTAAAAACAATGATGGTGTTGCGGAAGTTAACGCTATTCCCCTTACTGTCAGTAAGGCGGCCGTCATCGAGGAGTTGCAACATAATATTGAATACATCCGGGTGAGCCTTTTCCATTTCGTCAAATAGAAGAACTGAGTATGGCTTGCGACGAACTGCATCAGTCAGCTGACCTCCTTCATCATAACCGACATATCCAGGTGGCGCACCCAACAATCGTGAAACTGTGTGCTTTTCCATGTATTCGGACATGTCGATTCGAATGATGGCATCCTCGGTATCAAACATAAAGTCACTAAGAGCCTTGCAAAGCTCAGTCTTTCCAACCCCAGTTGGCCCCAAGAATATCAAAGAAGCGATGGGCTTTGTTGGATCATTCAGTCCAGCTCTAGATCGTTGTACTGCTTCTGTGACTACTTCGACGGCTTCGTCTTGGCCGATAACACGATCTCTCAATCTATCACCCATTGAAAGGATCCGAGCTCTTTCGCTTTCGAGGAGTTTTGTTGGTGGAATTCCAGTCCAAACAGCGACCACATCGGCAATATCGTCCGCAATAACCTCGTCGCGGAGCATACGATCTCCCTCATCTAACTCCGTTTCGTCTCCTGCTAGTTCAAGTTTTTCTAATTCTTCTTGAAGGGGTGGGAGTTTAGCGTACTTGAGTTCCGCAGCTTGATTGAGATCAAATTCACGTTCACATTTTTCAATTTCAAGCATTACTTGTGCAATCTCAGTCTTGATATCCTTGATGCGGTCGACGCCTCCCTTTTCGGCCATCCATTTCAAGTTGAGTGCCTGTTGCTCGTTTTTCAATTCTTCAAGTTCCTTATCGATTACATTGATTCGTTTGCCTGCGTCCTTGTTGGCCTCTTGGCTTTCTTCACCCGACTCGTAGTCTGATTGGAGAGAAAGGCGCTCCATTTCCATTTGAATAATGCGGCGGTCGATCTCGTCAAGGATTGTTGGCTTCGAGGTTAGTTCATTTTTCAATTTGGCACATGCTTCATCAACCAAATCAATAGCTTTGTCGGGTAAAAAGCGGTCGGGAATGTATCTATGACTAAGTTTTGCGGCAGCCAAGAGAGCTTCATCTCGAATTCTGACACCGTGATGTGTCTCATATCGAGGCTTCAATCCACGGAGAATACTGACAGTATCCTCGGGAGATGGTTGATCAATCGTGACTTGTTGAAAGCGACGTTCCAGCGCTTTGTCTTTTTCGATGTATTGTCGGTACTCATTGATTGTGGTTGCTCCGATACATCGAAGTTGTCCACGAGCGAGAGCAGGCTTCAACAAATTTGATGCGTCCATCGACCCCGCTGCAGCGCCTGCCCCAACAACGGTGTGCATCTCATCGATGAATAAAATGATTTCTCCATCACTGTTCTGAACTTCTTCCAAAACGGACTTGAGTCGTTCTTCAAACTCACCACGCATACTTGCTCCAGCTACCAATGCTGCCAAGTCTAGACCAATCAATTTGCATCCTTGCAAAGTATCGGGGACGTCACCGGCAACCATTCGCTGAGCGATGCCCTCTGCAATTGCAGTTTTTCCCACTGCGACAAAAAAGAAGATTGTGTGAGGATATCTTTCGTGTTGCAATTATGGCCAAACGGTCGCTGTCAAGAAAATCAAAGGCAAAATACACTTGGAATAAATATTTCACTCACCACCGGGATCACCGATCAAGACAGGATTGTTCTTTGTTCGGCGACTTAAGATTTGAATTGCGCGACGAATTTCATCATCTCGCCCGATGACAGGATCAAGCTTTCCTTCTTCAGCTCGCTCKGTAAAGTCGATTCCATACTTTAGCAATGCGTCGTAATTGTTTTCGGCGGATCGAGAAATGATCGGTCCGGCCTTCTCTCTCATTTTAACGACTGCGTCCGAAACGTCTGTGTATTTTATGTCTTGTTTCAAAAAGGCCTTGGTAGTAAATCGGTCGTCCTCCTTGACTAATCCCAACAAAAGGGCCTCGGCAGATACAAAAGAATCGCCCAGAGTGGACATTGCGCTACGCGCGGCTTCCAGGACCCTGGGGAGGCTGTATCCCATTGTTTTTTGTTGCGAACTTGTATCCCCCTGCATCTTGGGTTGTTGAGCGAGATGAGTTTCCAATTCTTGTCGTAGAGCTTTCACATCGCACTTGACATCCTTCAATACCCTTTCGACTGCCTTTCGTGCTGATTCGGCATCGTCGCCAGCTTTGTGTTTTGCTGGATTCAATAAAAGATCCAATAAAATAGGGCTTTCGACTGTGGCTGTTTGGTAAAAATCAGCTGCCTTTGTAAGAGCTGCTACAACTGCCCAGCCCGCTTCAGTATACTTCTGCTCATTGAAATCATCGGACGACATTCGCAAAGCTGTGGTGGCTGTGCTCCTCACCTTGTTCGTTTTTGATAGCTGTCGTCCAGTGACCAGTCGCTGCTGTGCACAAAACGAAGAGTTTCGAGGGCCAATTGAAGTAGATTGGCGAGGTGCGACAGGCGTGAAAGCATCCGTAGTCGATGAGTAAAGTCCACTGAATGCAGTAGCAGCTGATAGAATGGCGAGAACTGCGGGACGCTGTTTCTTTAAAATCATCATGGTTGTGTTTATTTGATTCTTATTTTGACTGAATGACGGCAAGAAGTTAAGTATTCGATTTTCTTAGCGAGTTGGACGGATGGTGGTACACCTTTTCTTATTTGGTTCGTTTTGTTAGCGGTCAATAAATATCTGTCGTAATGTATGCTGGTGCATGTAAGACGAAACTATGAAGGTTTGTTGTCACTACTGTATTGTTATTTTCTTGCACCTCTTTAGTTATGCTTTAATGAAAAAGAAATGCTCGTTTTGTGGATACAGGAATTCAAAAAAAACGAAAATAGTTTGAAGCTGTTCTTTGCATCATGGCGTCCACATGCGTCAATTTGAATCTTAAAATCGTTTCTTCGGGATTCCATGTGTCTCTTCGAGTGTCTGATGCGTTCGTATCACGTTACTCGTAATAATGCGTTGTAGAAGTACCGTACCCCTTACTGTGGGCTAGTACCGTAGGTGGAGCACCGGAGTTGTATGATGTAATGATACGATTACGTAAGTACGCAGGGCAGGGGCACGAGCGTAGGCGTGTCCGTACAAGGAGTACAGTATCACTTTTTTGTGATTGGATAACTCAGTCAGTCGTACAAAGAATATGATACCCAGGATGTACTTACGGTACGTAGGTACGCGTACCAGTACTGAAGTCGATGATACCGGGCAACTACTATACTCGTACGTACTCACTTCTCATAGTCTGATTTCGAAGTGAAAACGGACGACGGAAAGATGATCTCATCGAAAATGCTTTCATAGTTTGTTAGGATGTGTACGTACCAGTACTGGTATCACGCGATGCTACGAGTCCGTCTCCATGTACGGTACGTACTCGTACGGGTACTCGTACAGTTCCACTGTACGTACGGCAGGGGTGATGTACGGTACCGTACGTACTGCTACTCTTACCCACCCCTGCAACGTAGTGTACAGTGGCTGTTGCATGCAAGACGTCTCAACTAAATACCTCTCTACCCGATTACTAATCATATTTTTGAAGCCATGTGGCAACTTTAAGTAGAAAAATACTAGTATTTTACACGTTATGGTCTCTGGACGGCTACACCTCTCTCGTTTTTCAATTGATCACGGCGCTTTTGACCACAATTCTTTTCGTTTTTTCGCAGTCTGTATCTCCAACAACCATCCACCATGAAGACCCCTGAATCAGTCCTCAAGAAGCAAGCCACTCAAGAGAAGTTGGCTGCTGCTGCCGCTGCTGCCGCAAAGGCCGCAGAGGAAAAGGCTGCTGCCGATGCTGTGAAATTCGTTGCCAATTCCAAGAAGTACGATGAGGAATACGAAGCTGCCCAACAGCTTGCCATCGACAACCGACGAAAGGCCAAGGCCGACGGTGGTTTCTTCGTCCCTGCCGAACCCAAGTTGGCATTGGTTATCCGTATCAGAGGTATTATCGGTGTCTCCCCCAAGGCCAAGAAAGTAATGCAACTTTTCCGCCTCCGTCAGCTTCACAACGCCACTTTTGTCAAGTTGAACGAAGCAACCATTCGCATGCTTCGATTGATCGAACCATATGTCACATATGGATACCCCACTCGGGCGACTGTCCAGAAGCTTGTATACAAGCGCGGATTTGGAAAGATTAACAAGCAACGCATTCCTATCGCTAACAACGACGTCATTTCCCAGGGACTTGCCGACAGCACTGGAATCGAATGTGCTGCCGACCTCATTAACGAGATCTACACTGTTGGCCCTAACTTCAAGAAGGCAAACAACTTCTTGTGGCCTTTCAAGTTGTCCAACCCTAAGGGAGGATTTTCCTCAAAGACCAAATTGCTTCACTTCATGGAAGGTGGAGAAGCCGGTGCCCGAGGTGAAGAAATCAACAAGTTGGTTGCCAAGATGATCTAAATGCGGTAGATGAATCACGACCATCAGCAGATTGAGCTACACGCGAACTTTGATCTCCACAGACTCGTGCGCTCTCGTCGCACAAGTTCTAAATACAGAATTTACGGAAATAGACGAAATAATTGATGAACCCCACGAGACCCGAGTCATTTTGTGTTCTGCATACGTTGTATTAACTCGTCTGTACAGGGAGGCAAACTGTTTCTCTTACACGACTAATACCAAAACTGAAAATCCGACCCTTGAGTTGTGAGACACGACGCGAACTTCGTGTTGTCCACTTCTCTTTATGGGCGGTGAAACGCTATACCCACATTAGACTCTTTCTAGATTATACTATCTTCCTTGTAGTTTAGGATACACGCTAGATGTCCCCCCGTTTGGTTCTTCGTAGTACTTCAGTGCGGAACACGTGTGTTTGATGTAAACATGACCATTGTGTGACACAACAATCAACCTGTTAGATCTGCCCACAGGAGTTTATCTGGAAATGAATTGGAGCGTGGTGGAGAGACTCATGGGAAGCCAGTGAAAGCGGCGTTGGAACTTCTCTGTTGGTGTGGCTGAGTGAAATTCAGGGACAGTACTTGCGGAGTCCTCATGGTACTGTGCACACGTTGAGATGGAGGCAACAATTTAATATTTGTACTGGCAAGCATAAAATCCAATACTAAGAAATACTTGTGGGAAGGAAAAATTGCAGTTCTGCTATTGGGGTGATCAGATTTGAACATCATTTCACTTGTTCAGCTATAAAAGAAGAACAACTGCATTCTTGCATTGATACTATATCATACCAAAATGACAAATGAAACCAAACTCTTGAAACCAAATACAAACCTGACAATAAGAAACAATATGATCCTCACCATGCTGGGATTCTTGTTCCTTCTTTGAATTAGACTTCTTCAAGAAAAAACAGCTTCTTGTTCTTGGTGTCCATGGGTAGTAAGTCTCCTGGGTATCTAAAGTGCCCCCTGCCTTTCTCAAGCTCAACAGTCTAGAATGCTTGATCACCAACTCTTGCTGCTATCAATTGCTTCATAAACACTCCTGTGAGTAAATAGTGATTGAGTCCCACAGTGCTCCTGCACTGCGTCCGTGATATTATAGTACTAGTAGCACCACAGGTTGATCATCAAATTCTCCTGTCTCCATTCTGTTCCACCAGCAAAAAGTAAAGCCTCCTCCATCTGCCTTTTCATACACACAAAAAGTCTGAGGACAATGCACAGCCATACCACCACCAGGTGCCAAGGCAGTTGAGGGTCCTTCTATGTGGGTCTGAGGGTCGTTCAAAACTGACTAGATTTAGTCAATCTAGACCCATTTTTCGTCTGACCGTCTATCAAATCTAGTCAATCTAGATTAACGGGAATCACCCATTACTACTGTATTTCGTATTTCTTACTACTTCTGTTGGAAAACGATTCCATCATTATTCAAGTTATTTTTTTCTTCGAGAGGACGAAAAAACCTTCCGCACGCTACGTCGCTACCTCCGGTGGGTGTACACCGACAATATTGAAAATCATGGATTTGAAGTCAGGTGTATCGCCATCGCCATCAACGAGCAGAATAGAGACAGTAGAGAGGGAAGAAAATACGGTGGCACGTCATGTGCCAATAAAAGGACGACGTCGCAATCTCGGGCGTCAAGCAAGGAAGCGACGGAAAAAATATCTCGAAATCGAAGCTGCTGCGTCGGCTTTTGTCGCAGCAGCTGCTGCTGTTACAGCATGCACCATTGAGAACCAGAGTTCCAATCCGGAATCGACGGTGCTAGAATCAGCAACAAATCCTCAAAACGAAAAACAAAAAAGTGGCAGCAGCAATATCGCGAGCACCAACTGCATTCTTCCAACCGATCGGAGTTATATTTTGGACGATGTACGACGGCGGACGATGCTGTCCGAAAACGACCGGCGCGACTTGATACAGCAGCTAGGTTATCTACCTGGGAACGCTTTACAAGTAATGGCTCGTGTCGAGGATGCATTTTCAACGGAAGACCTACAGCATATAATTGCGGCGACGGTCGCGGGATCAAAAACTAGTAGTAAAAACAGCCCCAATGCGACAGCAACGATGGAATCAAGCACCAATTGCAAAGAAATTAAAACAAACAGGAAAGATCCTGGGATGACGGCCAGGATGGTCCAGACGATGATGAAGGAACCGTTGGTGATTAAACTTTATCCACTTGCATTGCGAGATGAAAGTAGTAGTACGAAACGGCGAAGAAAACGACGGCGTGAGGAAAAGGAAGATCTCTCTACTTCTAGTGATAAGGAATTGGATGTCATCTGCCAAGGAACTTCGAAGACCGTGAGAGAGGATCAATCAATCCATCCTGCAGCTTCTGCTCCMACCCATACCATTCCTCTCATGGAACCTTTCCCCACGATCTACTGGGTGACGCACCCTTTAATCAAAGCTTTGATTTCAAAATTAGAGTTGGACAAGGTCAATGTACGGTTCGAGCAACGTCTTCTTGACGAGATCAGAGAAAGAAAGGCTCCGGAAAAGTGCAAGTACAAAGACAACTCCTCTTCGTCCTCGCTGGAGTCCATGAAATGCGCTCACAAGTCGTATGGGCGCGAACGACGCGAATTACTTTCGGAGCAACATAGAGAGTATGTCAAGAAGCGTCGATGGTACGAAGATTCTATTTCGTCAAATAATCATGACAGCAAAAAGATGACACCATCAAAGGCACCCTTTGGCGATGGTTGTGGAGTCGCTGGTATCCGCAATCCGAGGGCCGTAAAATGCCTCCACGCACACGCAGCCCATTACTGGAGCGGCAATCGTGACAACTTGGTGGGGTACTGGGTAGAACAGGAATTGAAAAAGCGAAGAACTTAATGCAGTAAAGCCTTTCGGATCTACCCATTTAGAAGAAGTTTAGAATTACTCAAAATGTAAAATGAGATGTACTATTTAGTTTTTGTTCTCATAGACCGCTTATCCTTATCAAACGTCAGACGCTGGTGGAAAATATTCCCCGAAGCCATGCCGCTATGAGGACTATTCTTTGATATATCACGCGTTGCTCACTTCGTTTTCTTGTACCAAAACTTTTTTAATAAATGATGGTGAACTCAAATTGAAGGATGTGACTACGAATAAAGCTATTGGAAAAACCGATTCGAAAGCAAGCTGCGCGCAGTGGTAACTTCCAGAGAATTGATATTTTCTGCCATCCTCTCCCTAGCTTGAAATAGCGTCCGAAGAACATCCCATCCGGCACTCTCCTTATCGTCAAGTAGATTTACTAACTCACTCCAAACTTCCTCTGCCTCAACGTATTCACGAAATGCTTCGAAATCTTGATTAAAGATTTCATACAAAAGCTTTTGAATCGTATCCTCATCTGTCGCAGGCATAGGAGTATCACCCGATGGTAGGTCCGAAAGGGAAACGAGAAGTAGTCCGAGGAAAACAAAACCTAGAGCATGAAGGTCCTCGGCCATTGCAAAATCTGTTGCCACTAACGAGGTGTCGCCTTTCCGAATCGATAAGCCAAAAGAGCGTGCCCTGGAGATAAATTCTTCATCTTTCGCAGAATCTTCCAACAACCCTGAGAATCCAAAATCTGAAAGTTTGATCGTAAGACCTGACACTCGAGTGAAGTAAATCGATGAAGTTTCCGCCTTGTCTTGTGTTACACTCGTTATAATCAACGAGTTTCTTCCAATACTTCGATGAGCGATCCCTGCGTCGTGAAGACTGCGTAAATACAAGAGTGGCACGAAAATTACAAAGATGCGACGTTTTAGTTTTGATGAGTTTCTCACTTTGCACTCTGTCACACGGACTCGCAAGTTACGTACTCTGCTAGAGCTGAAAGACTCTTCATCAGTATACCTTTTACTATGAAATTCGCCCGCTCTTTAAAGGATGGCAGGGGAGGGGGCTCCACAAATCCACCAAAAAACGATTTTTTGGGTGGCAGTTTTGCTCGACGTTTTTCAGGTGCCATAGCTGTATACGTAGAGATAGTATTCAGTCCCGCTGTATTCAGGAAACGAAGATATTCAAGACGTTGCTAGATGAGAAGCGCTGGCAAAAACCAGTTTCGTTTCAACCGATGAAGATGAAGCTCAGTAGCAGTAGACTTACCATATTCAAAAACAATCCAAACTGCCCCTGGTTTAGGCGCCGAGACACCTAATGCTCGATAAAACTCGTTTGGGTCCATTTCGTCCTCCAATTCAGCAAGATTGACTTCTCCCAAAATCCCAAGATATGGAGCAGTTCTTAATTCCTGTAACAGATCCCCAACATGTTTGTCATCTGTTCTTCCCAGAACAGACCTCGAGGAGGCAGATTGAATCCATCCTCCATCGCTAGCATCTTTTTTATTCTCCATTAGTTTCGATTGTAATTTTCCAACTGTCTGTTGATCGCGTTTTGCTAATTCTAACGCAAACTTTCCGGAGTATTCCTTGATGAGAATCCGTTGGTCTAATCCCCTGCTTCGAATACTAGCGCCAAGTCGTCCTATTAATTCTCCCCGAAAGACACGGACAACAGACCCACTACTTGTCCTCGTTCGCTTCGGTTTGGAAGCATCGAATGGGTTTGGGCTTACAACCTTTCGATCAGTTGGATCGTCCTCGCTTTCGTAATAATATTCCCAGTCCGTAACCTCCTCAAAGCCCATATTCCCAACAAAGTCGTTTATGATCAAATCCTCTCCCAACGAAAAAAGCCGCGTCTGGACACCGGTAATATCAAGATTGCTATTACCATTGCCCGCTGTAAGGAAGTCTGAGAAATTATCGCTGTCAGTTTCGATGTTATCCCCTCCGTCACCAACGAACCCATCAAAATCCGATGTCCAATCATTGTTTTCTTTGAAAGATTTCAACGCAATCGAATTGGAGGGATTTCTCAGTATCTTTGGTTGACAAACGAATGACTCACATGGAATAGCAAGCAAGAGCAGAAAGAAACTTTCCTTGAATATCATCTTTTTGGACGTCAGATGCTTCACGGCTGACAGGGGCATTGGCAGTGCTACTTCCTTCCAACTATCTGACGTGAAAATGAGGTTGAAGGAAATGTGTAGTTTCGTTCTGTGAATTCAGAAAGATAAGTTCACGGCTTGCTTGAATCAGAGTGCTCTTCGAGCGACTGAAGTGGAGTACTGTACTACTTTACTATTCATATGAACTATACTGTATGATCATACGGTAGGACCAAGGACCACAAAAAATGTAAAATGTGATGGATTTTGGAATGATGATTCAAAAAGCGACAGTTACAGTACGTACGTACTGTACGTACCGGCCGGTACTCATAGCATGCGGAGTGAATGTCGTACGATTGTCAAAGAAGAATGAGGCAGAGCAAGAGGAAAAATCGTATTTTTGTCTTCGCCCGCACCGTGCGTAACTCGTGTGAACCGTCGGAATGTTGTCAGGAGTGGTCAGTATCACAAAAATTTAGTCTACCGTAATGAAGATGAAGAGTTTATGCAACTTATCGGCGTTTGTGACGTTGACAACGTTCGGTGCGAGCACCGCGTTGTTTGTTCCATCGGGATGGCGACAGGCACATGCCCTTAAGAACAATGAATCGCGTTTTCTGTCCCAGAGGGGGGCATCGTCTTCGTCTTTGCCCGATACTGGTACAAGAAATGCGGAACGAAACAATGAATTTGTTGAAGGTTTGATGGGAAATCTTTCGAAACTTTGTGATAGATATATCATGAACGGATCTCCGAAAATCAGAGAACAGATTTTCAACGTACTTGACCAAATCGCCACAGAGGCAGTGGATCGAGATTTGGTAAACCAGTCGATTCGAATAGTGAAACGAGCAGGGGTCCCAGTGTGAGCAATAATAACAACATAGGTGCTGCGGCAATCATTCAGAAAAATATCGTTTCTCACAACATTCGCTTGTTTCATCATTCTCGGGGACAATAATTTGCGAAAAGGCACAAAACATATCTTGAAAAATACTCGTCAGAGCTCGGTGCAAGCGATGCCGATCGTCGACGATCAGAGGCAGACAAACGCAGCAAGTGGGAAAATGAGAAAAAAGCGGCGGGGAAATCTGCTCTATCCCGTAGAATTGCTGGATCCGATGGCAGGCCAGATCTCTTGACGCCTTCTTTACTCGATCCGGATTCGATTGCAACAATTGCGGGAGAAAAGAAAGAATTACAAAAAGAAATTCAAAATGGATCGAAGGATCGCACTCAGCCCAATTCAATGAGCACCAAGGCAGCCGAAGAGGCAGCTTGTCGGGTGTCAGAAATAATTGCCAAAGCTGGTTCTGGCGATTCTTTCGACGGAGAGACTCTTGGTGTGGGGGGTTTAGACGACGTCTTGGTTCAGATAAAGAGGAGAATTTGGACTCCTCTAGCCGCCCCACCACGTCTTTTACAAGGTAGGTCGATAGAATTAATTTAGTGGATTCTACTCGTGTACCAAAACGCAACAAACATCCAGTGACTAACTTTTGAGTGACCGTCTCTTTCGTAGAGTTGGGGATACATCCGGCACGTGGGTTGCTCCTTTATGGAAAACCTGGATGTGGGAAGAGTCTGTTAGCATCCACACTCGGATCTTTGTTGTCACCTTTCCGACCAATTACTGTCGTTAGTGGTCCAGAGATTCTAGACAAATTCGTCGGATCAAGCGAAAAGAACCTGCGAGATATCTTTGACAACCCTCCAGACATCTATGAAAAGTTTCGGGTCAACGAAGAAGATGGTGGCGATTCATTAGCAAGTGCTGCTATCCATGTTGTTGTCATGGATGAGTTCGATGCTGTTGCTAGAAGCAGGGGAGGATCTGATGGCAAGGGTGGCCAAGGGGATGCTGGGGTGGCGTAAGTGTTTTCGCTGTATTTCGACGCTGAGTTTGGAATACACTTCATTTGAACTGTGCTCGTCTTGCCTCGTTGGGCCCAAAAAACTTATGACGTGGACGCCAGACCAGCCCTGTCCTTTGAAGCTTGTCTCACATGTTGTTATGCTCTTTCATAGTCGTGATTCTGTGGTCAACCAATTACTTGCAAAGATGGATGGAGTTCAACCGCTAGCTGTGCCTACTTTGGTCATCGGACTTACAAACAAGAGAAGTCTGATTGAACCAGGTAAGTGGAAATCGATTAGCAAAGATCTAAATTCAAAATTTGAGATGGTGGGCCTCACTTTCTCCGTTGCACTTCATTTCGATTTTTTCTGTTTTCTGAAGCGCTTTTGCGTCCGGGTCGATTCGAAGTTCAAATTGAAATACCTCCACCACGAACAAACGAACAACGATTCAGCATTCTAAAGGTTCACACCCAACACATGTTCACTGCAGGTAGGCTTCAGGTTAATGATCCACCACCGGATAGTCCAGCTGCACAACAAATAGAGGTAAGATGAAGTCCCTCGGATGGATTTGATTTCTTCATTTATGGCAATCTCGCAGCGGATTCTCACTTGTCATTATCTTCCTTTTTGAACAATGCAGAACGCCGACACTTCAACGCTTTTGGCATACGAAGACCTCTTGATGAAGTTGGCAACTCTAACCGATGAATTTAGTGGCGCTGCCATTGCAGGTGTAGCACGTGCCGCTGCTAGTCGCGCTTTGGAACGAGCAGTTAGTCAGTTCTCTGACGAGATCGAAAGCCGAGAAACTTTAAGCATTATGGATTGTCTTGTCACTCAAGATGACTTCTACGAAGCAGTTAATGATGTTCGAGAAAGTATGGGAACTCGCGACCACTCAGAAGACTAGGCTAATGAAAGATCGCAACCTGGTCGTAAATTTAAAAGCTGAAGTAGTTGAGAGTGGAAAGGAACGCATTGTAACGAAGTAATCAAACGAATAATGAGTCGTTATGCCTTCAAATATGAGTGTATGAAAGATGGCTTACTTCTATACTTCCATCATGGTTGTCTGCCACTTCGATCGAATTATCGAGTCGTGGGACTTCAGGTTGTGGAATTGAGTTTAGAAGAGCCGCTTCCTTAACAAGTGCATTCAGTTTCTGATCAGCTCTTTGCAGCCTTTTCTTCGATAGCATTAACTTATTTATCATTTCACTCGATGAACTTCTCTCAACATGCGTCTTTCCATTTTCCTCTATGCTGAGAGAAGGCACCTTCGTAGATTTTGCTCGTTGTTTCGTCGCATTGTTTTCTTCGGAAGATTGACTAGTATGCTTGCTATTTGAAAGATAAGATTGCTTGTTTTCTCCTGACCAGCTACTACTACTCAAGTCAGGATACGATGACCTTAAAGGTGCTTCGTCACCGGTGTCATGAGATGATATATTCCCTTCGCGTAATTTGGCGCTTTCTGTTTCCTTACTATTAGAACACGTTTTCACAACGTCATAACGTTGCTTTTCAGTAGCAGCATCAATTCGATGCAAAATGTCGTCTCGAGAAATTAGTCGGATGGAAGCTTGTCTATCCAAAGATCCTGTCTCATTATTTCCAAAATATTTTGGCGGTTTTGGCGAGACGCATCCATGATTCACACGTTTGCTTGAATTGTTTGAGCCATCTCCATCGATACTTCCCCATCCCGAATCAGTGTTTGAATTGATCTTTGAGAAACTGCTGTTCTCGGTCTCGTTGTGTGTTGCTTTGTCATTACATTTTTCATCAGTTTCGACTATCATTAGTTTTTTCATCTCTTCGTGTGGTATGAGTTTCCGCCCCGTTCGACTATGTGCCTTTTCGTCGAATCCTCCGTTTGGTGTCTTGACCAAGCTTTCGTCCTGCGCTCCTTCTTCATACAATCTAGCACATTCTAGTGGAGCTCCCATGTTTAATTTCCTAGTCCATGTGAAATCGTCAAATGAGTTATCGTCGATCCAAAATATATCTTTCTTCAGTCTTTCGACCTTCAGGTACATATCGTTCGCTGATTGCAAAGCAGTTTTCATAGTTTCTGAATAAATTGATTGAGTTTGGTCCAATCTTATCTGTAATGACTCTAGCTTTTCCTTCGAATTTCCTTCTTTAAACTTCGAATTCTCGAGTTCACGAAGCAGTCCCTCGACACATTGCGTTGATTCATGTCGTTGAGTTTCGTCTCCTACCGCTTCTAACTTCCCTAGAGGCATTACATCAGAACCATTCGAAATAATGTTGGAAGCTTCTAGTGAAACATTTGGAGCCTGGAGAAAAGGAGAATTTGTGCGTGAAGCCTTCTTCAAGTGGTTTTTCTTATCAGTACCAAGTTGATTTATACAATGATGTGCTTTCGATAGCGAATCCTTTAGATCAAGGATGTCAACCTCAAGCTGGACAATGGTCTTTTTGAGAAATTCATTGTCCCTGCTAATTTTTTCATAATTTTTTTTTCGCACAGCTCCCCTAATGTCCTGCCTTCGTGTTCTGGAGTTTTGGATTGATTCCTTCTCTTGCATAGATCTGTCTTCATAGTCTCGAGTGTATCCCGTATCTGTCGCAAGGTATCTGCCCTTTGCATCTCTCTTTCTTAAACATACGTTTGTATTTTCAGAGAAAGAATCTTCATCGTTGATTTTTTTCGCATCTAACCATTCAGGAATCTTCCTCTCGTAGCTTAGCACATTCGTCCTATCACTATCAGTCTCCGTAATTCCATTCTCTGAATACATTTGCCAGCGGAGGCTAGGAGATGAAGTGACGGGGATAGATTTCCCTTGTATTGCAGCATAATTCTCACTTTCAGTAGATAGTTCTTGGACAAATGGGTATAACGAACCCGGTTTAGTAACTTGTAGATCGTGAATTCCATTCGAATCAAGTTTGGTGCCGGGGCTAAAACGACCGCCTGGGTTTACATTTCCAATAGGAAGGGACAAACCAGCCATTTTTGCGAGCGCATTCTCTTTTGTACTTGATACTGTTGGGACTTTTTCTTCAGGAAAGCTGTTGATTTCAACATGTTCGGTGCGTCTATCTGTCACGATACCGAGGCTTGCAGGAATAGAAGAAGGATCGCCGTCGTCAAAGTTCAATACACAATTTTTTGCGCTCGTTTCCTGTATCGACGTCCCACGGTTTCCGCTGTTGTAAGCCTTGTCAAAAAACTCTGCAGCCAACATAGTCTCGATTGCCTCTGATTGTCTTTTCTAACGGAGTATGCTTCCGACCTTCGAACAGTGTCTTGACGGAAACGTTTTTCAAAGGGTTTACATAACACGACAAATGAATCGGACCATTAACCCATTTCCTTGTTTTACAAACGACATAAACTCATTTCCTTGCATATTTCCGTTTTTAGTGAATTGTAAACTCRTTTCCTTGCATTCBGCCWTTTTRTAAACTYRTTTCCTTGCATTCTCTAAGTAATCAAAATTCTGCCGTTAAATAACAGGAAAAACCAATTCATCACTTAGGAGTTTGACGTTAAACAACAGGAAACTACTGTTCTACTGTACTGTATGACAATACAGTGTTGAAACACAAGACAGCAAGCGCCGATAATGGTGCTCCTTGCAATAGAAATAATAATAAAGGCATGAAAATAGGAGAGATAGTATTGATACTAGTGTTTTATATCCCCTCTGTATCGTATCGTATCGTATCGTACGAGTGACTTGTCATCTCTCCGTATGAGCGTCCTCCGTATCAGTGAGCGACCTCTTATCAGCATTCTCCATATCAGTGAGCCTCCGTATCAGTGACTCTTATCAGCATCTTCCATATCAGCAAGTCTCTCATGATGGATCCGCACCAATACTGGTGTTATCAGCGTCCTCAGTATCAGTGAGCGTCCTCCGTAATCGTAGCTAAACCGGCGTTCCGTACGCTCCGTATCAGCACCCTCTGTATCAGCAACACTCCGTATCACGAGCGACTTGTATCAGCGACTCGTATCAGCGTTCCGTATCAGCGTTCCGCATTAGCATCCTCCGCATCAGCAACCTCCACACCTTGTAAGCATTCCCAGCATTCGGTAGCATCACCAGCGTCCTCCAACCATGGTGGTTCTTGGTCTTTCAGTTGTTGTTTTGTTGAATTTAAGACTATTTTGTGCTGGTGGTGTACTGCGTTGTGGTGGTAGCATTGGTTTTTCCCGTTGTTTAACGGCAGAATTTTGATTACTTAGAGAATGCAAGGAAATGAGTTTACAATTCACTAAAAACGGAAATATGCAAGGAAATGAGTTTATGTCATTTGTAAAACAAGGAAATGAGTTAATTCTCCCAAATGAATCGCAAGGTTTAGAAGAAAAACTTCCATTTGTCCGGATCCTTTCGTCACAATACCGTACCGTACCGTACGAAGTACGCTCGTACTTGTAGCCAGTTCTACTCTTACTATGTAGTACTAGAGCACAATACTACTACTATAGTACTAGTAGGACTGTGTGGCACAACTCTTTGTTCAAGAGAAAAAAAACAGTGGTAATCTGACACCATGGAGGAAAAAGTAAAATCTCATTGCTCAAGGTGCATTCTTGGCATTGAGGATAATGCAAGTGGTAAGATAGTACTACTACTACTAGTACTACTAGTAGCACTAGCACTAATACTACTAGTAGTACTACTAGTACTAGTAGTACTAGTAGTAGTACTATCTTACGATGAGGAGATGCCTCGTCAACAATTTCTTTTTTTTCCTACTAGTACTACTAGTAGTACCACAGAAGAATTGGAATGGCCTTTCTCCACTAGCTACTACTAGTAGTGACATTTGGGATACTACTACCAGTAACTCTTTTTTGAGGATGAGATGAAAAAAGAGAGCCCCTTCTTGTTTCAAAATACTACCACCATGAGTTTCTTAACAATTGCACACAGTCTTGCCAGAGAGCAAAAAGTTTTAATTTGAAGTTACAAACTTTGATTTGAAGTTATGAACTTTGCTTGTAGTACTACATCATGTACCAGGTTCTACAGAGCTATTTTTTAAATATGACTGAATGACTGGATTTGATTCCCCTCAAAACAAAAACAATGGTTTGAGGTGATTCAATCGTTAATCCAGCCTTTCAATCACAAATGCCATTGAAAAACTAGCTCAGTAGAACACAGTAGAATTTCTACTATGGCATTTGAAGTTCTCAACTTAAATCAAAGTTTAGAACTTCAAATTAAAACTTTTTGCATGGTGGACAAGACTGCAAAGACCGTGTGCAATTGTTATGAAACTTGTAGTATTGAGCAAAGAGGAAGAATGATTCAGGGTAACCAGAAGAGGATATGATTGTGTGTTGTACACAATATGGTACCAGGTTTGCATTGAATTGAACTGATACAGGAATATATTGAGGAAATGAAAAAGGAAAAATCAACTTAAATCAGAACATTGGTAGAAGAGATCATCTTTCCTGGTCATAGCTTAGCGTAATTTGCACCATAAACAAAACCATGTGAAAACATGTTTAAGGCAACCATGAAAAACAAAGAGCAGTTCATCTGTTTTCCATCAGGGGCTGATGGTACTGTGAAATCAAAAGCAATTCATTCTGTTTGACATTACTAGTATTGTAAGATGCTTTGCAAAGAATTGGGAGTGAACTTTTCCAACAGAACTCTGGTTGTCACAGGCATGACTGGAACAGCTGCAGTTAATGTCAATGGGGAAACAACACATAAATTGTGACAGATCTAGTGTTAAAAAGGATGCTGAATGGGAAATGAGACTTGCCTACTACTTATTGTTGACAAGTTTTCATTTGCTGATATCAAACAAATTGAAACATTGAATGGGTATCTGAACTTATTGTGTGACAAGTCATCATATCATTTGTATGGCAATCTAGTAGTACCAATTGTCTCTGCAAGTGATTTCAATCAACTCAAAAAACCAGTGGGAGGAGACTCCCTATTGTCAAGAATGGGTGATAGACATTTCTTGATTTGAAAACAAACCACAGGTTCAAAGATGATCCAATCTGAGGAGAGCTTGGCTTGAAATAATAGTATCATGTTCACATCATCAATTCAAGAATTGTAAAAACTTGGGAGAAACTGCCAGAAGATACTATTGCTTCTGCAACAACATACAGCATTGTAGACAAATGTGCAATAAATGATGGCATATTTTCTGAATTTCTCAAAACAAGACATTTTAAAAATATAAATGAGAGATTACTAGTAGATCACACCATTGTAATGAAGGCCTCAAACCTAAAACTGCAGATAGACAAAAAAGAAAATATAGAGACATGCCAGAATTTCACCAGAACTACTGCTTGCTAACTGCCACATCAGATGCCTACATGATTGTTGCAGCAGGTCCAAACAAATCTTCCAAAAGGAGGATAAATCCAATGCTTAAATTGCATGTTGGTAGATCTGTCATGATCAATGGCAACATGGAGGATGTTGAAAAGTCAAAAACAAATGGATCCATGTGTGCATTCAAATATGTCAAACTGAAAAATGGGTACCAGCAAGATTGTGTAATTATCAACATTGATGGATTTTACTTTTGATATGTAGATGCTAAGAAAGTTGAATGGATGGAGGTAGACTCAAAAAAAGTGATCACTTGAACTCCTTAAAACACTACAGCAACAACAAAACTTCAATGTCCACAAGAATATGAATCAAGAATTACTAATCAAACTCAGTCACACGGGAATATGTTTAACTCAATTCCCAATCAATATTGGAAATACAAGAACAACTGTTCACAAATTATAGGGAAGATATTTGGAAAATGAGTTGGTTTCAACTTGGTCTTACAGCATAAGCAATTGGATTTATGTTGTGCTTTCACCAATTGTCCTCTGTTTCTTCTTGTTGTACTAGTAGTACCACTACTAAGGAGAAGAACATCTCCTCTTCTGGTGCTTGCAAAAAAACAACACCAACGTCACACAAACCGATATAATGGTGTTTTAAGTTTCCTGCGTGCACGAAAACAAATTC